TGTCACCAGGAAACCCCATTCATCAGGAGGGCATCCCCAGAAACTACGTCATCCAAACGACAGATCAGCAACCAATCAAAGGCGCTGGGATTCCCTGAAAAGCCAGCAACTGGAAAACTCCGCTCAGCTGTCACTGAAACGCAAGTAACAAACAAAATCTCTTCATCTCTTGCTGAACGGGTGCTGAACTGAGTTTAAGCAGTAAACATAAGCCAAGTCTCTGCTTTTGAGTTTTCTCAGGTTGAATTTAAAGAACTCGTAGAAAACGAGTATTAGAACTTTGGGAACTTCATGCAAACGCAACCTTTTGTGTGTATGTGTGTGTGTGTGTGTGTGTGTGTGTTCTAGCTTAGTTTAATGTGCCATAGAATAGCAAATAAACTGTTGTTTTATTTATAAAGAAGTATTGTCTTGTGTCGTATATTTTTAAAGTCAAACTTTGTCCAGATCCTTTGTTACCTTGCTCAAAATTAATAAGATTACCATTTTGTTTGTGTTGTCATTGGCCACGAAGTAATATGAACAGAATTGTTAAGATATACTGATTTTAACGCTCGCTGGATGAACCGTTGATAAAGTATAAGCTCTAAATTTTGAATCAGATCAACTTGAAGAAATCAACATCGAATCTTTAAGAATCGATTCCCTAAAAGCTGAAATAAAAGCTAAATCCTTAAAGTTACTACACACTAGTTTGTCTTATGATTTAGTTCTCTAGACTCGAGAAGTGAATAATAAAGGGGAATCTATCTGCTCAGTAACAGAGGGATGGATGATTAGTAGAGATATGAATTGAACCAATCATGAAGTGCACATGTAACCTTGGTATTTTAATGCATTTCTTAACATATAAATATGTGTGTAATATTTTAGTCATAGTGTCGTTCTGCTGTGTTTAAAGTGACTCCTGGCCAGTAGCTAATAAACATTCAGGCAAAGAGTGACCTGGGACTCGCGTGTGGTAGTTTACAATGGGGCTAAAAGAGGACTCATGTAAAAGGCACATTTAAAATTATTACAGACATACTTTGAGACAAAAGTCTTGTTAAAATGTTCTCAGTTTTGTTGAAGGTAATTACACCAACAGTTTTTCAATAACTGAAGAATATGAAAAGTACGGTATTTGGAGTAAAAAAGCTATATTATCTCATGTGATAAATAGCTGTCTGACTTTCCATTGGCTGACATGATATGGTTAGATTCAAGCAGTCAATAGCGTTTAAGTTCATTATTGTCCACCTTAGAGATAATCACCACATTTTTAATGAAACATCGTATTTAAAAATACAGTCAAACCAAACATTATTCAGACACCAGATATAATTTTGATATTTTTATTAGTGGGTGCAGGAAACTATAGTTCATAAATGTAAGTGAGGATAGCAAAATAAAGTGAACTGTCACATATTATACCCAAAAATGCTTCATACAGTAGACTACCAGTAAAATTTGGGATCAAAAATTATTCAGACACTTTGACCTGAGCATGTTTTGCTGAGGGCAACAAACAAAACCACTGCTAACGGAAAACACATTTGTGTAATTTTACCTTTTACTCGAAACCTTTTAGTTACTGAGATGTGAAGAGACTCACTGTAGTTTCTTCAGTTTACAGTGTGGATCCTCCAGTAGAGCAGAGAGCAGCTTCACTCCTGAGTCTCCTGGTTTATTACGGCTCAGATCCAGTTCTGTCAGGTGTGAGGGGTTTGATCTCAGAGCTGAAATCAGAGCAGCACAGCCTTTCTGTGTAATATAACACCAGGAAAGACTGCAGACAAAATACAGAAAAAATAAAGATGATGTTAAGTTCATTCACCGTTTATCACAGACCCATGAATGAGGTGTCACAAATCGACCGGCTCACTGAGGAGAGGAGTGCTGTATCTTTTCTAAGCGATTGGACCTACGATGTTCACACAGCGGACGAAAAAGCAGGGGAAAAAAATCCCATAGACTTACAATGGCGGAAAGTTCATGAATTTGAATCTCAACTGTCACTTTCTCACACACACACACACACACACACACGCACACACACACACACACACAGTGTCAAATAAGACCTCAAAATATACAGAAACAGTGAAGAGAAACACAGGCCTACTGTATAAAGTAAAGTCAATAAAACAAAGAGACTGTAAAATACTCACTCACTCTTTCTAGATGCTTTGATTGATAAAGGGCTTGAAATCACACACACACACACACACACAGTGTCAAATAAGACCTCAAAATATACAGAAACAGTGAAGAGAAACACAGGCCTACTGTATAAAGTAAAGTCAATAAAACAAAGAGACTGTAAAATACTCACTCAATCTTTCTAGATGCTTTGATCACTGGCAGCAGCCTCAGAAGACATTCTTCTGATGGATCATATTTACTCAGAATAAACTCGTCCAGTTCTTCTTCTGAGTTCAACAGCACAAACACCAGAGTGGACCACTGAGCAGCAGACAGTTTGACTCCAGAGAGACGACGGGCACCTGTTCTGCTCAGGTATGTTTGGACTTCCTGCTCCAGTGAACGATCATTCAGTTCATTCAGACAGTGGAACAGATTGATGGATTTCTCTGGAGAGGGATTCTCCCTGATCTTCTGTTTGTTGTATTCAGCTGTTTCCTGATTGATATCAGAGCTGCTTACTGTCTTTCTCAGGAGGCCTTGTAAGAGAGTCTGATTAGACTCTAGTGAGAGACCTAGAAGGAACCGGAGGAAAAGGTCCCAGTGTCCGTTCTCACTCTGTAAGGCCTTGTCCACTTCTCTCTTCAGTAAACTGGTCATTGGTGACCTGAACACATTCATTAGTCCTGTGTTTCGTTCAGAAAAGGAAAGCAGCTTGAATAAAGCAGCAAGAAACTCCTGAATACTCAGATGAACAAAGCTGTACACCTTCCCCAGCTGCAGTCCAAACTCCTCTCTGAAGATCTGGGTACAAACTCCTGAGTACACGGACACTTCTCTGACATCAATGCCGCTCTCTTTCAGGTCCTCCTCATAGAAGATCAGGTTCCCTTTTTCCAGCTGTTCAAAAGCCAGTTTTCCTAGAGACAGAATAGTCTTTCTAGCCTGACGAGGATCGATTTCATATTTCCCATCATACTTCTGTGTCTTCAGTTTGGTCTGAAAGATCAGGAAGTGTGTGAACATTTGTGTGAGAGTCTTGGGAATCTCTGCACTCTCTGCTTTACCCATCATCCTCTCCAGAACAGCGGCTGAAATCCAGCAGAAGACTGGGATGTGACACATGATGAACAGACTTCTTGATGATCGGATGTGTGTGACGATTCTATCAGCCAGACTCGGATCATTTATTCTCTTCCTGAAATATTCCTCCTTCTGAACAACACCTCAGATCAGCAGATGAGTCTCCCGAGCTGAAATTAAATGGAGGATCCATTGACGCGTCACTCTTCATGGACACACAGCTGGGTTCAGGAGATTCATTCTCACACAGACTGAAACACAACAGCAATACAAACGGTTTCTGAAAATCTCACACTGCTCTGACAGAAACACCTTTACTCTCTCAACCTCTCTTTAATGTTCATCTCTTTCACTTGAGTACTGAAAAATAGCAATGGGGAGGTTGTTGAATTTTTAAACATTCATTTCATATTTCCTACATGATTAATTTATGTTTCTCATCTAAACATATTTTAATCATGCACCATGTATTTATTCTGTAAGGATGTTCAATCATATAGAATTAGTCATGTTGAAGCTAAATAAAGTAGTTATGTGTTCTTCAGAAACCCCGCCCCTTTGTGAAGGAAACCGATTCGAGCTCATCGCCATCTTGTCTCTCGCTGTGGATGGGATCTGAGCTCTACACGGAGGTAATTAAAACATGAAACTAAAATTCAATTTAGAGTAGCCATTCAGCATTTGAATGTGCACAATGTGCACATGGTTTTATAAACTTGTCATATTAAACAACATTGTTTTAAAAGCAACGTTTGTGCTAATGCTGCTAATGCTTAACGTTAACACTAGCTTTAGCCGCGTCTGAAAATGATCATATTTTAACGTTTTCCTTAATGTGTATAATCTTTTTCTTTGTATGTCGACTAGATTATATTTTGTGTCAGCATGAGAAACTGAACCGGATGTTACCATTGTCGGCCGTTGTCAAGGTCCGCTGTCTGTAATCAGTCTCTGTTGACCATAACTGCTTCTCATTATATTCAAGTTTACATTTCTCAGGATACAGATATTATTAAATTATTGATATTTCCAGAGTAGTATTGAATCTATTTTTTACTCTGCATTCTCCAGGCTGCAGATGAAGCCCTCATCCCAGGATCCATTGAGGAGACAATGCCCATGACGGACCAGGGGACATCAGGATCGTCAATAAGGGCCAGATAATCTTACAGTTATTTGGATAACTTGGCATTAGCTACTGCGAAACTCAACTGCCCACTTAACTGATGAAAGGGATAGTTCACCCAAAAATGACAAT